TAAATCTTAAAAAAAAAAAAGAATTAAAAAGGAAAACAATGGAAAGACAAGGATACAGTCCCAACATATATAAAAGCATAAGTAAAGAAGTTCAGGACATTGTTTCTGGAATTCCCTAATTGCTAATTCTCAGTTTTCTTACCCACAAAGGGGACATAATAATAGTACCATTTCATGGAACATTTGGAAAGTTTAAATCATACTTTAGATTCTAACTCTGTTCTTGGGATGTTAGTGCTATAAAGGATATTTTTTTTTAAAGTGAAAAAACATAACTCATTATTTCTAACTATTTAAATTAGAAAGGAGAACCATCTCTTTAAAACTATATCCATTTCTCTGTGCTTTTGTTAACAATGCTGTTTCCTTTTTTCTGAAGAATATAACATGTTTTAGACTGCTCCATATTATAAATTTCACTTTCAAAGTGTTGAATCAAGTAAATCTGCCAGCTTCTTTTGTTTTTCCTACTTTTCTCTCTGTGTTGGACTGCTCTGGCAAAGGGGAATAATATTACCTTACCATGTAAAACATGGTTAATGGTTTTAAAAGAATTCCCCAGCAACTGAATAACAGGCTGCCAAAAATATTCTTGGTGCCAAAGGATCTGGATATGTCTGTTCCATTTATTGTGTATTTCTTTTTTTGTTTCATCGTGGCTAAGTGCTCACAAAAGACATAAAACACTGAAACCTCTAAGGGTGTGTGGTGTTTGAGGGCAGAAAACATATTTAATGTATTCAGTCCCGATGTCTAGCATAAGTTAAAAAAAATCAACTGGGTAGATTTTAAGGATATTTTAACTTTGTTCAATGTTTCATGAATCCAACAGCATTTAATCTAGTAAACAGAAAGGAATTCTGAAGAACTGCACAAAATGAAAAAATGTTATAGGCAGAAGGGAGAGGACAAGGAAGATGTACTAGTAAAAAGCAATTGGTCGTGGCAAGATTCCCGTCCGTTCGAAGGCAGCAGGGGTCTCTCAGAGGAATGATCTCACTAGTGCTGAACAAATAACTCCTGGTGCACTGGCTTAAGAGCCCATTCCAGGGAGAAGCTGAAATTGAAATTAGAATTCAGTATTAAGTCTTGGTTTAGTGACAAGGAACTTAGCAGAAGTGACTCAATTTTAGACCGATTGTGGCTCTCTCGTCCCCTTTTTTTACTGCATATTATGATGATTCGTAGACAATCAATAGCAAGTAACAATGAATGCCTACGTTATTTTTTAGTTAAATTGATTTCTAGTGACTAAATTTTCCCACTATCTCTATCATTCTTGGTTGAGATCTCCTATCATGTTTATTCTAAGGAGTACTGGAAAGCTTACACCAAAAACTTTTAGCTTGTTCTGTCTGTTTGAATATGTCTACTTTTCTCAGAAAAAAAAAAAAAGATGGGGCTTCTTTCTTTCTTTCTTTCTTTCTTTCTTTTTAAAGATTTATTTATTTATTCATACAGAACTGGGGTACAGGCCAGAGATGTGGAAGGTGGGAGGATTCACCAGGTACAGATTGGGGAGCAGAACAGGCAGATCTCCAAAGTACACTGCTGAGGGGAGCAGCAGGCCGGTCAGGAGAGGTCTGCCACGCCATGTGGGTCACCTCCGGGGAAGACAGGGATCGAACTCATGCAGAAGTGGCTTAAGCTTCTTAGTGCTGTGCTTTAACCTGCTGTGCCACCAGGGAGGCCCCAGGGCTTATTTCTTAACAAATTCTGATGTCTAAAAATTTGCTAGTACAGTGTGGCAGTGTTATTTATTTTTATTTTGATGATGATAAATTGAATCTGCTAAGAATAACATTTTTGCAAATTTAAGTAAAATATCAGTTTAGAAATATACTGAAAAGATATGAGGGGAAAATGGACATATACAAAATTTAAATGGTGTTTTGTTTTTCAATGAAGTAAGAAAAGTCCAGGAGCGTCTAAAATCCCCTTTATTGGTCCCTCTGGTGGCACAGCGGGTTTGGGTGCATCACTGCAAGCCAGCCACAGCCGCTTCAGTGCCAGTTTGATCCCCCACCATGGAGGTGACCCACATGGCACCATAGACCTCTTCTGACCCACGTGCTGCAATCCTCAGCAGTGTACTTCGTTGACCTGCCTTCTGTTCCCCACTCTGTGGTGACTCCTCTTACCACTCCTGTACCTCTTCTGTATGCATAATCAAATAAAATATTTAATAATAATAATAAAATAAAATCCACTCACCACTCCAACCATCTTACATGCCATTATCTTTTCCACATGAGCTGTGCTCAGTCTGGTTAATCCCAGCAGATGGTGCTTAATCTCACCCACTTCTCCTTTTGGTCAGAGCTGTTGCCAACTTTCCAAAAACAATAGTTTTTGGACAAACAGTAGTTTGTGATTCAGGTTGTGTGTTCTTTGCCAATGCCCTAATCCCTAGGACCTCAGAGACAGGTTAATTGTCTTCAAAGAATTCCTGAGATAGAGATTCTTATCTTATATTTTGTATATGATTCACAATGCAGATGACACCATAGGGGGCCATCCCCCTGGGGATGGAGACAATAAGATGGTAATTCTGGGGCTGGTTAACTAAAGTTCTTTGTCTTTTATATCTATTCAGTAAAGTTAATGATTTGTATAAGAGTGACTTCATCCAACAAATAATCCTGAATCTGTTTAAAATTTGTGTGTGTGCCTATGGAAAACTGTTTGGAGGTTCCTCAAACTGCTAAACATGGAGCTTCCCTACGACCCAGCAATCCCACTCCTAGGTATCTACCCAAAAGACACAAAAACACTTATTGAAAAAGATACTTGTACCCCCATGTTTATTGCTGCTTTATTTACAATTGGAAATACAATTGGGCAGCCCAAATGCCCAAAAGTAGATGACTGGATAAAAAAGATGTGGTACATATATACAATGGAATATTACTCAGCAACCAAAAAAGAGAAACACATGTCTTTTGCAGCAACTTGGATGGAGCTGGAAAAGATCATGCTTAGTGAGATAAGCCAGAAAGAGAAAGAAAAATACCGGATGGTTTCACTCATAGCAGGAGTATAATGGACCAGGCGAGAAAATAACAAAAATAATGAACAACCATATACCAGAGACATGTTATGGGGGTGGAGTGGGGAATGGGATCAAAAACGGGGGGGGAGGGAAGGGAGGGAAATGCATGGGACTATGGTGGTGGCACACGGGTGATTTGATGATGGGAAACCCACGGGGATTACAATCGAGATGGGGAAAAAAATGTGCAAAATGATGTAAAAATAAACTTTTGTAATAATTAAAAAAAAATTGTGTGTGTGCAATACGTGTACAATTCATACCCCAAATTTAGTCCTGACTTTCTATGTTGAACTATCCTTGCATAAATGCCTTGAATAAATCCCACTTGGTGATTGTTTGTGATCCTTTTAATATATTGTTGAATTTGGTTTAATAAGATCTTGTTGAAGATTTTTATATCTATGTTCATCAGAGAAATTGATCTGTACTTTTCTTTTTTGTGGAATGTTAGTATCAGGGTAATGTTGGTCTCTATTAATCTCATGTAGTCCAATTATTTGTCCTTATTTATTTTCTGTCTTAAAATGAAAAAAAAAAAACCTTAAATGCATTGTCTTTCCAATAACAAGAGAGAATAACTAACCATCAAACTGTGATATGAAATATATATATTTAAATTCTCCATCATACCAACTAGTATTAAACCCACAATAAAACCATGTTTGTGACCTTTTGGGGTTGGTTTAGTCTTTGGGGAGGCCCAGGAATCTATAGAATTCTCTGCTGACTTAGCCTACCTATCAGAGCTGGACTCCAACACTCTGCCTTTCCAATTCTCTATTACGTAGAAATTTACTCTCTCCCTAGTTGTTTGTTAGATCTAAGTTCCAGTTAAAAAACAAGCAACCTGAGATTGTATTACTCTCGGCTAAAAGCATCCCTACACCAACATCTATTCAGAAGAAAATACAATCAACTCATTATAATGTCAGAAAGTCTGTCTAACTCTGAGAGACAAAGGGGACCACCTCAAGATAAACCATTGGAAGCAGGGATCTCAAGAAAGAAACATAAAATGAGCAGAGGGGCTTCGTAGCTACTGTAGAGACCATGCTGAATATTCCACTTCCTGTTTGCAGAATGAAATCTTACACAAAACTTGTAAATACATGTCCTGATTACCAGGCAACTAGTACACAATACAACATATGATTTTTGAACAAGATGAATATTTACCTTCAATAGTTACTGAAATCAAAATATTTTAGCCACTTACTGAGTGAGCATCAGAAAAAATATGAAACAATGGATAAGTATGAATGCTTAACTTTTGCCAAAACAGACATTTTATTAAAATGGGGTTTGATCTTATTTAACATTTAGAAAATTATTATGCTTAGCATGTAGAAAATAGTTGTTACATAAAAAAATATTTCTGAAACTTTTTTTGTAAATTTGCATATATGACTTTGACATAACACTTTTGCATTCAGGGGACTTCTGACTCAAATGCTTAGCTTGAAAATAAGGAACGATAATCTTGTGCTTTGGTATTGGTTAGACAAAGTCACAGAGTAAAGTTTGTTAAAATTTTAGAGTTGTAGCTTTCCATATGCTATATGAAATTAAAAACTGAATTTTAGGTAGAACAGTTTATCATATGTTTTCCATTATTTTGACAGGAGGGTTTTGAACTGGACACATTTAAACTTTCAGAGATCGCGTTAGTGGCCTACTATATTACCAGAGGAAAGTGTGGGAGAACTTTGTCACTTTGTAAGGCCTGGGGGGGTGTTGGTGAGTAGGGGCAGGGAATGGCCTTTAACTACTCAAGTGACTCATTGTTTGACTCAGATCTTTTGGACTGAGGATTGCAATGACACATTTTAGAGAAAACTCATCCAACTTATAAGTAAAACCCAATATGTAATAGGGAGTGTAAAATCAGGATGTAAATCTTTGTATACTTAATGTATACTAATTCCATTCCTTCCTTTCATTACAGGCTCAACATGGGAAAAGACATTTCGGCAGATTGGCTTTGAAAGGTAAGCACGTCTCTGTTTTTAGCCACTGATGTCTTATTTTATTCCAAGTAATTTATTGATCAAAAATCAGTTGTCTTGCCACCACCACTTCAATAATTGTGTGACCTGAAGATATAATTTTGCCCTTTGTGTCCCAATTTCTTTATAAAGTGGACATTTGCCTTATAAAATTCTTGCTTTCACATAAAGTGGAAATGAAATTGGAAGCACTAGGTAAAAATGCTTAAACAGTAAAGTGATACCTTACAAAGTTGTATAGATAACTAAGAGAAGTAGGTTTGACTCTTCCCTGGCTACATTACCTCATATAGTTAGATCCACTTCTCTAGTTTTAATACATAGAAACTTACTGTCTTCCTCATTATTTGTTAGATCTAAACTAACTAAATAAATAAATAAAACTGAGATTGTGTTACTCTTAGCTAAAAGCATTTTGACAACAACATGAATTTCAAAAGAAAAAAGAACTGACTCATTATAATGTCAGAAAAAGTAGAGGTAGAACCAATAGAATGATTAAACCTTTTGCAATCAGACAGAGTCATGCCTTCCTATTTAGCATCTTATATGGTACCTTCAGTTTCCTTTTTTTTTTTTTTTTTAAGGTTAGTAATAGGTTTATAAGAGAAAGGGACATGAATACTCAGGGAAAGAGAGAGAGAGATAAGTTTGCTAATGCATCAGGCCAATTGAACTTATAGTTTCAACACAGCTATTGAAATAAAGTAAATGCAACTTTTTTACACTAAAAGTAGATTTTTACTAGTTTTATGGTATTGAAAATGTGTTTTCATCAAAGTAACAGATTGCTTACAGCCTATAAAAGAAACAATAAAGAACTCTAAAAGAGCATTCACATGGGTAGTTTAATGGAGGTTGAATGGAACATGTGCACATATGGTGAAGAAAACTGTAACAAAATTACAATGAAATTATAATAAGATTGTTATAAAATTATAATTTAAAATTATAATAATAATGAAAAACTTAAAAATGCATTGGTTTCCCAATAGCAAAAGAGAGCAACCTACCACCAGACCGTGACAGCAATTCATATATTATTTAAAAATTCATTCAGAGATTATTTCTCTACATACATTTACATTCAATTTGCATCATCACCATTGCTCTGCCACTAAGTTCTTGTAGTTAGCTTTTAAAGATTCTGGAGAAAGTTTGTGTAAATGGGCAGATTCCACACACTGACTTCAAGCAAAGCATGGAACAGCACCTGATTTTTATTTCATGTGAAAACCCCTCCCAAAGAATTTTTTCCTCACATCTTCTTTCAAAATCTGAAAAATATCAAACCAACAAAGGGGGAAACTGGACTTCAGTTACCCATTTCCCAGCTTTGGTAAGACTTTGTTGTTGAAGCAATTTAAATAAAATCTCAGACATAATGTCATTTTTTTGTCCTCACATGGGTCACTACACAGCTCTGAAAAATACGGGTATTTTCTTCCAGAAGCATACTTCCAGTTGTCATATGAAGCACAAATAACAATAAGTCCTTAAAAACCTAGCCAGTGTGCAAAGCTCTTGCTTATTTCAAACTACAGATACTGGTTTGAATCATACTCCTGGAGTTTATACATTCAATTCCAAGTTCTTAATCCTCTTTTAGATCACTTCCTCCAGTTCCTTCTCAGCTACATTTTGTTTTTCTTCATATCATTTGACATCTGAGTAAACAAGGTCAACTGTCTCTAGATGTCTCTCAAGCTAGATTTGTGTGTTTATGATACCATTTAACTTGTTCAGTCCCCCTATTTCATGTAAACTCAAATTGTTTCCTTTCAGCCATTGAGAACAACTCCAGCTGACTCTTCTTCTCCTTTGAAAATAGGTCCACTAGTCTGTTAAGCCTCCCATGTTTCTACTACTACTAACGTGCCAAATCAGCTCAATATTCTAGAGCTGAGGAGGAGACAGCCCTCCCCCCCAAGGGGCTCTATTTTCCTTGGAGAGTGGCTATTTTGAAGCACAGTCTAAATACTGGGGATGCACATTAATTTTGCAGTGGCATTGCTTTCCAATTGTTTTACTAGATGAAGTTAGGAAACAGATTAAGAACGAATATATCTTGAATTCTTACATTATTTCTATTTTAAATGTAGCCATGCAGAATATTTAACATTTCTGAAATTATATGTATATCTCTTTTCATTTTCACTAAATATGTTGGTTCTTAACAAAACATATTTGTTCAATTTAATGCATATATATAGTATATTCAAAATAATACTATCAATAATACAAATATTACCACTAGTAATAAGACTTCTGAAGATTTTAATATTTTTGCTCAATCCTGATTTTTATTTTCCAGTCAGAAAAATAAAACTATAGTTGCTTTTTTGTTTGTTTTCTCCTATGGTCATATTCTAAATTTTATATGTAACTTTCTTTTCCTTCAAATCATTTGAATTTTATTCTTTTGATTTTTATTTTTTCTTTTGATTTTATTTTTAATATATTTATATGCTTCCAAGAACAAAGTACATGACACTTTTTTTTCAGAGAAATGTTACATCCATCCCTTTCCTTGTTACCTGCTCTTTCTTCCTCTGTAGTTATCTCTATAATTTATGGATTTTAGATTTAACTTCATGATGTTTATTTTTATTTTCATTTGCAAAATAATAGTTATGTATATCTGTACCCTTGTCCTGTTATTGCATAAAGTGTCATATACATTATTCTATACTTTGAGTTGTTTTCATTGAAAGTATCTACCTATCTATCTATATATATATATGAAAGTATATATGTGTGTATGTATATAGATATATATATGTTTGTATGTGTATGTACATATATATACATATATATATAGCAAATCACTGCACACCAGTGTAAGCAGGTCATTTTCACTTCATTAGCCTGCAGAGGGTGTGGCTTCACACTCATTCCCTATGAGATTGTTTGAATCAGACTCACACAAATTGAGAATCTTATCAGGTATGAAACTTCACTATTAATGTCAAGGGTGCAATTGATTAAAATACACTGACTGTGAAGGGATAAATTGAGGACATCACATAAGCTTCCAAGGTCCTTCCTACTCATCAGATCTTTGTTTTCTAACCGAGAGAGAAGTGAATTTTCTAATGACGTTTACAGGTCGCTTGCATAGCCAAGAGCATTTCATTTTGCAACATTCCCAGTTTTATAGCTAAAAACATTGAATAACTCACATGACATTATCAAAGGAGTCATGCCTTGTAAATCCATGAATAGATTTGTTTATCCTAATAATTCAAAATCAGGGATGTTCTACTCAAAGCATTCTGAGGATGAGAGCTCTTTTCCCAGCAGAAAACTAAAACAAAACAATCTACTTGTCCAGTGATCTAGTTAATATGTTTACAAGGAAACTACAACGGGTCAGTTGCCTTCATCCTTCTTCTGCATATCTGCTTGGTAATTAGGGGAGGAATTCATCTGAGGCCCCTGTGAGTCCTTCAGTACTGTATGGATAGACATTTAGACACAGCCTTTTAGGATTACTAAAAACAAAATGTTGTAATAAATAACCTTATACACAGTTGTATTTTCCCAAATTCCTTAGGGATAGATTCCCAAGTACAATCAAAGAGTGAATTCATATGCAATTTTACTAAATATTGCCAAGTTTCTCTCCCTAGAGTTCCAACAATTTGTATCCATATAGCAGTGAGTATAACCACTTCCCAGAGCCTCACCTACAGAGTATGCTATAACATCTGGGGTTTGTTCCAATCTGATAGAGGATAAATGTTACTTCAGTGTCCTTTTAATTTGTGTTCATGCTGAGCAGATTGAGATTCTTTGCTATCTCCTAAGTGAAACACTGGGCAGGAACTTCTAATATGATTAAGGATTCAATGATCAAGAGGACTTGGCAATTGAAATATTTTCTTTCTAGTTTATACAACTGTATTTTTTTAAAAAGATTTATTTATTTATGCATACAGAAATAGGGTACAGGCCAGAGGTGTGAGGGGTGAGAGGGTTCACCAGAGACAGAGTGGGGGAGCAGAACAGGCAGAATGAAGAAGTACACTGCTGAGGGGAGCAGAGAGCGAGACAGGAGAGGTCTGCTGCTACATGTGGGTTACTTCCCTGGTCTAGGATTGAACTCATGCTGAAGCGACTGCGGCTACCTTCATAGTGTTATGCTTAACCCATTGTGCCACCAAGGAGGGTCCTTATATGTTATTAACTTTTTCTTTATTGAATTGCAATGCAATGAAAACAGGTTGCTCCAAGCAGTGTTGAGCAGTTACTAATCCATAATGCCCACTGATGAGGGAATAACAAACTTTTTTCTGCAAATGACAGAGAATGAGCACTCAAGCTTTTAGGCATTCAATTTCTGTTGCAATATCTCAATTTTGCCATTGTAGCAGAAAGGCACCATGGAAAAGTATGCAGGGTTTCTGATAAAGCTTATCTACAAAAACAGGGAAGTGGCAGGACTTCGCTGCTGGCCATCATCTATTGACATCCACTGGAGACTGTGACTGTATGTCACAAGCAGAGAAACTCAAAGAAATCAAGTAGTCTGATCACACAGAGAAAGCCACTTATGTGTAGGTTTGCTTACTTTCAAAAACTAAGATCTACACCTGATACTACATTGAATTCTTAAATCACTGGTCGCTTGTCCTTTGCTTTTTTTTTTTTTTTTTTTACTATCTTTATAGTTCTGGGGACATATTCTCAAATAATGAATCTTATTGATTCTTTTCATGCTATACATAGCATTCATATAAGCTCCATATTATAATGCTTAATTATATATTAAGAAATATATCAGGCCCTTCCTGGTGGCACAGAGGGTTCAAGCACAGCACTGCAAGTCAACCCCACCTGCTTGAGTGCCAGTTTGATCCTCGTCTCCTGAAGTGATCACATGGCACAGCAGACCTCTTCTGTCTTGCCCGCTGCTCCCCTCAGCAGTGTACTTTGTTGATTTGCCTGTTCTGCTCCCCACTCTGTCTTTGGTAAATCCT